AACAGAGGACCCCAGGACCATCAAGGGAGAAGATCATAAGCGGAGTGTGGGACCCTATCCAGTAAGGCAGCAACACCAGAGATGGGAGGCAGAGATGAGGACATGGAGAGAAGGAGCAGCTAAGGACTCTGGACTCATGGAAAGAGAAAGTCTGTGTGCTGGCAGCCAGGAGGCAGGCTTGCAGAATGACAAGCCCTTTGGCTGTTAAATGATTCTGTATATCTGATAGTTTTTGTGTACATCCCAGAAAAAAACAAAACAAACTGAGGGAATAGAAGCAAATACTGTTGAATGATAATGCATGGAAGAGATTGTAATCATTGCAATGAAATGAAATAGGATAGGATGAGTGTAAAACCAATGTTCTACAAGTAAACTATCACTCAATTCACAATAAAAACATGTATATGGAAGAATTCTAATGGCTCAACACCAAAATAAATAAATTTTAAAGGCAAATAATATGAAGAAATATTTCCATCAAGATGCTATATGGATAGCAAAAAAAGTCCATAAAAAGAGTTCAACATTACTAACCTTGTTGTTGTTGTTAAGTGCCATCAAGTGGTTCTAACACCTAGAAACTCATTATAGGGTTTCCTAGGAGTGGCTGATGAGTTTTAACTGCTGATTTTGTGGATGCCAGCCCAGTGCTTATCCTACAGCGCCACACTAGGATCCCAAGGAACACAAATGGTGTCTTGGATATTCACTGGGTTGCTAACTGCAAAGTCAACCATTTGAATCCACCAGCAGTTCCCACAGATAAAGATGAAATTTTCTGTTCCAGTAAAGATTTTCAACCTTTAAAACCCTACATAGGTTGCTATGAGTCAGAAACAACTTGAGGGCACACAAAAACAAAAGATCATCTTATAGTTCACACACAAAATATACCAGACACAAACGGGCAAATATTGTATGGTCTCACTTACATGATATATCCAGAATAAGAAAATACATAGAAACCTAAGTTCATATGGTAGTGAGAGGAGAAAATGAGGAATATTGCTTGTGGACAGAGTTTACATTAAGGGAAAAGAAAAATTTAGAAATTTTTATAGTGATAACTTTTGTACCACATAGAGAATGTAACTAACACCGCTGAAATGTACACATAAAAGTGGTTAAGACATTTAATACATGTATTTCACCATGATAAATCTCATTAAGCAAAAAGCAAACCAACTAAAAACAATGACAATATCATCTGCTGGTAAACATACAGAGAAACTGCTTTACTCCTATACTGCTGGTGGACTATGAAAGGGTACAGGTGCACTGGAAAACAGTTTGACAGTTTCTCAGAAAACTAAACATGCACTTATATTACCCAAGAATTAAATTATACTTATGGACATTTAACCCAAAGAAATGAACTCTTGTATCCATAATTTTTTTTTAATTGGGTATGTATGAATGTATCTATATACATATGTATGTGTGTATCTATGTATACATACACATATACACATACACAAACACATACACATATACACACAAATACACACATACACATATACACACTCATACATATATACACACATATATACACATACACATATATACACACACATACACACACACATATATATGTATATTGCTGTGAAGTGCCATCAAATCAGTTCCAACCCATATGTGCCACACCAGGACTCCATGTGTTTGTGTGTGTGTACATATCTCTATCTATCTATCTATCTATCTATCTATCTATCTATCTATCTATAGAGAGAGAGAGTGTGAGTACTGGTATGGTGTTGCTGGAATGCAGGGTCAGTTTAAACCACAAGGTCGGTGGTTCAGGCTCACCAGCTGCTTCTCAGAAACCCTATCCAGGGTCAATAAGAGTTGGAACCAACTCAAAAGCACTTAACAACAATAATACACACACACACACACACACACAC